ACTGCTGGATGTGTGGATAAGTAACTGTTTGCTAATATGTACATTATATCAAATAGAAAAGTGACAATTTGTCAGTCCATCTCTCAGTAGGCTACCTTATGAGTTTCCTGGCTGGCCTGTGGCACTCACCGGAAAGTGTATCAATTATATCTGAAAGCATAGATCAAAAATCTGTCCAAAATATATTATATGTATACTGTTATGCATTAACAGATTTTTTGGCCACTTGAGAGTCATGAACACAGCATTAACTTATCATTTTTCATGTTGAAATGGCTAAGTTATCAGAAAACAGTACACAGTACCACATTCATGGAGCATTCATTTAGGGTCACGATTCTGTCCACTTCATGTATTTCAGTTTAATGGTCACTCTGCTTTTCACTTTGTTTTATTCTTGATCAACTCCTGAGGAAAATGTCTGGTTATAGCTGCTAAATGCTCAACTCACATAAGCAGGTTTTTTACAAAGGGGTCTCCTGAGGTGCAGTCATTGGTATAAAGAGAGAACAACAGCAGGGAGAGCACACATCCCTGGGGAGCACCTGTGTTGATAGTCCAGATGCTGAATGTGGTTTTCCCCAGTCCCACCTACTGCTTCCTGTCTGTCAGAAAGCTGGTAATCCACTGACAGGTGTGGGCAGGAACAGTGAGCTGGGTAAGTTATGGATGATGGTGTCCTGTCACCAGCTAGTTGCTAATTCTGCCTGTCAGACATTAGGTTCTGGGAAAGTAGTATCTGGTTGTTTAGAGCTTTTTTGCTGCTGAAAACATTATAAGACTGGTGAGCATAAACCCAAACTTACCAAAACAAAAAGATTAAAGTTACTAAAATGCTCCATATAAATTAGGTGAACTGTAGAGTCCAGTCATAATTCTCTGTGGAGCAATATGAATGACCTGTTTTATATTATAAATAGTCATTTGATTTTTTTGTCACTGTAAAAATGTTGATTACAACTAGTTTAATTTTCCTAAAAGACCTGGTCACTGTACTTTTTAGCAAATGTAACTCAAACAGCAGTAAACAGTGTGTGACTTTTTTCAGCAGTGAATTAATACACAATTTGAGCTCTAGTGAGTAATCAAACACAGGATGATGTTTGTGGGATTGACTCAATCTGTTTCCATATTTTGGGGGCAAAAATGGAGCTCTGTGGCAGATGAATAAGATATATCAGGCTTTGGACATACAGACAGTACTTGTTAGTAGGATCAGTTCATTGGTTTTGTTTTTTTCATGGGTGTTAATTGACAAATATATGGAATAACACCAGATCTATTCCATAAAGAAAACTGATATTCACAAGACAAATGAAGTTACTTACTTGTAGGAATATGCCACTATTCCAACTGCTAGAACAAGCAGAAGTACACCCCACAACATGATGATAGTACCAGAAGGGGACACACTGGAACCTGGATCAAAGTTGGAACAAAGTTGAGTATGCAGGCTAAAGCAATAATGTACTGTCAAACCATACAGCAAAATTTGTAAATTGTAGTATGGTGGTTATGTTGCATACCCATGTTTACACTGAATTTAGCACTTGTGACAGCTAAACTGACATCATTGGCCATGGACACATTGATGCAGTAGACACCAGAGTCACTGAAGAAGTGATGTAACACCAGCTGGCACTCTTTGGAGGGCTCCACCATGTTGCATGCTGTGTGAATTGGCCTCAAGCACTCTGCATCCAGAATCACACTGCATACCTCTTTAGGAAGGCTAGAGAAACATGGCAGTGAGTAAAATCAAACCAAATACACATAATTTGGATTTAATGAGAAAGTATATTGCAGGAGCTTTTACCTTCCCTGGCAGGTAACAGTTATATCCAAAACATTTTTGTCCATTTTGGGTGTTGCCATGACAGCAGTGTCCATTTGGACTATTTCTACTTTTTCAATGCCCTCTAAAAACAAGGACAATGAACACAGTGAGAAGGAGTGTCACTGATTATCATTTCAGAAGTTTTCATTTTCATTTTGATAAACATAGCACTAATGAAAGATAACTCACCAAACACTTCAATGTCAGTACAGAAGGAGCCATAACGATAAATCACACAGTCATCATCAGAAGGTTTGTGGTCAGCATCCCTCTTGGCAAATACTACCATCGATATCAGTGTCATTGGTCGATTTGCATCTGGTGAGGACAACCACATAATTATCCATCCATTCATTTATTATCAACCGCTTATCCCAGTCAGGTCATGGGGGGCACCAGGTTCAGAAGGACAGGGCATTCTTCCCAGCAGTGTTTTCCCCCACATCCTGGGAAACTCTCAGGCATTCCCAGATTAGATGAGATATATAATTCCTCTAGCATATTCTGGGGCCTTCTACCAGTTGGACATGCCCAGAAAACCTCCAATGGAAGACATCCCAGTCAGATGCTTGAACCACAGCAGCTCTACTTTGACCTCCCACCAAATGTTGGAACTCCTCCCATTCTATCTCTAAGGGTTCCCAGGAATCCAGTGGAGAAAACTAATTTCAACAGCTTGTACTCACAAGCTCATTCATTCATCAAAATGGTCATGTACAATGCCCACATTACTATTAAAACTGCACCAATCAATCTGTCGATTTCACAAACCATTTTACTGTCACTCATGAGCAACACCCCAAGAACCTCAAACCATTGTTTTCCAGCAGAGAACCATGACTTCAGATTTGGAGTTACTGATTCTCATCCCAACTGATCCACAGTTGGTAAAGCACTTGGAGGTTATGTTCTGATTAAGCTGACAGAATTATGTTATCTGCAGAAAGCAGAGAAGCATTTCTGTGGACTCCAAACCAGACGCACTCCTCTCCCTTGGCTGCGCCTTGAGATCCTGTCCATGAAAATCACAAACAGGATCAGAGACCTGAGGCAACCCTCAAAGTCAGTCATCAATCTTAGGCCTAGGGTATTCTGGTAGCAAGTACATTTATGAATTACGCTATCTTTAAACATGGTGTTTACTATGGCCAACCCAATACTAAGCAGTACTGAGGTCCAATAACAAAACACCATTTGGGGTTAGATCAAGCAGATTGTTCTTCCCAATCATCCCTCTTCAGGCTTCTTCAAGCCTTGCCCACTTTAAGTCCCCCAAAATAACTATGGAGTTCCCAGGCGGTGCCCTTTTCAAGTCTATGAGAGATCAGCTTGCACAGGTCCTTGATCTTGGCAGCTGCACCAAACACAGAATTAATGCACTGTTAATAGATTTTCGACATTTCAATTAAGAATCATGAGTTATTAATGGATAAGTTAGAAAAATATGGGATCAGAGGAATGGTTTTGAATTGGATTAGAAGTTATTTGATACAGAGGTGTCAATTTGTGAAGTTGGGTGAATACCAATCGAGTGAGCTGGATATTGTATGTGGAGTGCCTCAGGGTTCTGTTTTGGGACCTAAATTATTTATATTATACATTAATGATATATGCAAGGTTTCTGATTTAGTGAAAGTGGTTTTGTTTGCTGATGACACTACCATATGGGCATCGGGTGAAAACCTACAGCAACTCTCTGGACGGGTTTCACAGGAACTTGAGAAGATAAAGAAATGGTGTGATAGTAATATACAAAATTCATGTTATACGTACAACCAAAAAAAGATTTTGTATTTCCATAAGTGGGGTAAAACTATGGAATAATTTAAGTGTGGACATAAAAAATAGTAATAGAATTGACGAGTTTAAACATAAATATAAAGGTATGTGTCAATCAAGATATATGCATGAACAGGCTTAATGATTAATTAGATGGAACATTGTGGGTGTGGTGTATGAATGTTAACACTTTGTAATAATTCTTTAGTATATTATTTGTGTGGTGTAGAAGATAATTATTTAAGAATGTAATTATGTAAGAATGTTAACACTGTTATAATTTTTTAGTATATTACTTGTGTGTGTAGAAGAGAATTATTTACTGCTTGCAAACCAATGATGTTAAGATGATGTCATGGGGTAGGACTGGATAAGTCTGACTTCTTCCTACTCCATTCAAGCATGTAGTAGGTATAAGCAAATTGATATTGGATTAGCATTTGTTGGATATGTGTAAAATTATGTGTTGTCATATCAACTGTCTTTACATACTTGAAAGAATAAATCAAATCAAATCAAACTTGCCAGTGTGTTTGTGTAAAGACTTCATCTTTACAGCAAAGAGATCAATCTATTACTACCACAAATCACCACCCGGCAGGCAGATATAGCCCTTTTAGAGAAGATTCTCTAGTATGTAAATAAGAACTTTGGAAGTCTCAATGAATTATAGCATGGATACAGTAAAATAACAGGACATCAAAGTTGTCAAAATGAAAGTAGATTGTTCTGTTCTTTAGACAAAATCCACAGATTTTGATATAATTTTGTGAGTAAATAGCTTTCATACACTTTCTCTAATAAAAAGCCTACCTGTCAACCAGTTTACCAGAATGACAAGAAGCTGCAATAGCCTTGAGCCTTATGAAAATAACAAGCAGAGAAATGTAGAAATTTTAGAAGATGCTATAGACAATTCTACAAAAGGACCCACAGCATGAAGACAGAACTCAACAAGACTCAAAACATAACAGCAAGACAAGCAGACCCCCTCTCATATTACACCACTTACATCCCCAAAACTAGCAGTATAAAGAATGCTATTTTAAAGCACTGGCCCATTCTACAAAAGGACCCACAGCTGGAACATGTTTCTAACAATAAAACAATGGTCACTTTTAAAGAAGGAAGGAACTCACAGCACAGGATTGTCACGGCTGCTATTTTATGTCCGGGGATGATGCTTAAACAAATGAGAGATAACATTAATTATTGCAATTTGGAGGTGGATTTTATTACCTTTGGACAGAGCTAGGCTAGTGGTTTCCCATTGTTTGCTGTCTTTATGCTAATCTAGGCCAACCAGCTGCTGATGGTAGCTTCACAATTACTGTACAGACATAGGTGTGGTATCAGTTGATAATACACAATTAAATGTGTCAAAGAATGGGTGAGCGTCATATGGAAGCCCAGTATACAAGTTAAATGATGTTTACCCATTATTCGGCAGAGTGGGGGTGTTAGGCCATAAATCTCAAGAGCCCCACAATAAGCAACACCATTTTCCAGACCTAACCTACCCTTAACACAAAGCATACCTGAACCCTATCCTCACCCAAGCAAAGAGCAGACAGGTAGCTTGACACAGCATCTGGTTAGCAGGTTAAGCAGTGGCTGGCCTAACTGTGGCAGCTCAATGAAGTGCCCCTGCTGTTTTCTGTTGGAATAGAGGCCAGGTGCCAGGCAACTAACAGAATTTATTATTATATTAATTTCTCCTTTAATATCTTTATCTTACCTGTGATGCCCTGATCAGTAGGTGGACCAGGGGCCTTGGTTGGGGTACCAACTGGTGGGTCACATGCCTTATCTGGGATGACTGCCTGGATCACCACCTGAGGTTTAAATGAGCCAGAGCTGATATAGGTGTGGGTTACAGTCAACTCTCTGGTTATGAGGGCTCCACTTTCATCCCCAAAGTCCCAGTTAAAGGTGATGTCTGCATTGCTGAGGTACTCGCTGGGGTCATGGAGGGTGATGGTGAAGGCAATCGCCCTGTTCTGGATGAAGTGCATATCACCTGCCACAATGTCGTTCACTTGGTCCAGGGAGACAGCGAAGGGGATTTGATCTGAGGATAACATCAAATAAATGGCCATAGCTGGAGTTTATAAGACATTTAAACCTTATTTTGGGACAGTGGAAACAATCTGTATTTACAACATTGACATACCTTTTGAACAGATATGGAGAACTTATTATTATTTAGACATCCAGCAGTTAAAAGGGGAGCTGCAGATTCAGCTGATAATTCTTTGTACTGTAGATTCATCATGACAAGAGACTCTTTCCACATTGTCTCATTGTTTTTACATTAGGAACACATGGTGAGGAGCTGCTGTAAAGCTTAAAGCCTAAAATTGACCAGTAACTTGGCTTTTAGTACTTTGTTCACACATGTCTAGAATAATTAGTTTCTATTAATATAGTATATGACAAGAAATAATAGTTTGTTAAAAAATGAATCAGTTAAATCAAGGTAGGTCATCTGAAATTATTCATGTTTGGCCTTTTTTACACAGGAATTGTACTAGTTCAACACATTCTAACATTTTGAAATATTAGGGGCAGAGGGTAATGCAGTTTTTTTAAGTCGAGGGGCAATCCACAGAAATATTAATGATGCTGGGAGTTGTCTTGCTTTTAAACAAGCGACATATAAGGTGCATCCCTCCACACTTGATCATTTTCGTACAGTCACGAACTAACCAGTGATAGAGAACTGATTGGAGGCATATCCCAGAGGAATGAACTTCTCTTTGCTCCGGTAGTGGTAGATAACAACATCCATGGTGTAGGAGCCCAGTGGAATGCCATCTGTATCGATGGTCAGGGAGGAGGAGGGGCCGTCTGCCACCTGCCAGTACTGACCTGCCAAATGAGCGCCCAGAGCCTGGTGAGATACATTCTGTCTCCTTACCACAAATATGTATACATGGTTTCTCTGTAATACAGCTAATAATGTACAGTAGTTACAGGTTAAAATTCAAAAAACTTGGCGTGTTCAGGGGCAGAGCATGTTTGCTTAAAAAGGCTATAAAGGTTCATCTGAGTGCACTTATCAAATGATGGACAAACAACAAACAGCTTGTAACTATCCTCAATTCTTAATATGACACTGTGAGAAAACCTGTGAGGCCTCATGCCATAAAACATTCAAGATCTGAAGGCCAAATGTCAAAACAACGATTGTTTGTTTAGATTTTTTTACATGCAGGGTAAATGATCTGGTCATATGATAAGGCTCCAACAACCCAGCCTGGGTCACAGTTCAGTTCATAGCATAACTCTCTGACCCTCAGGAAAGACATCAGTTTGATATGAGACAACAGCCCCACTCACCCCAGGCCTTCCAGACAAACACATAGTTTGGCTTCTTGTCTGTCTTAACTGGTATCCCATCAGGGAAAACAGCTTCCCACTCTGTGTTCTGTGTTGGATATACCAGCTCAGATGCATGGTACTTTGTTCCTGTAGGAGCAAGAGAGGTGTGACTAAGTAACCACCTAAGTAATTATAATTATTGTTTCTTCTGACTAGCATGTATGTATCAGATTTTATGGCAGTTCATAAAACCAACTCACTCAAAGTGTCCACCTTATGGTGGTGCTAGAGCAAAAGCCAGCAGATTATCAATATAATTTGGTTTCATTGTCTTGGGGGCCTTATGTCTGTATCAGCTGCTGTGCCAGATCTATTAGTAGATGTTGAGATATTGCACTGGGTAAGTGAAAACTCTGACCCACTGGTGAAACTAAAGGAAAAGTCATGAGATCACCTAAGTCCTTAGTTTTCTTCCTCTAGGTACCACAGATGTACTAAATTAAATGGCATCCATCCAATAGTGGTCGATCCTTTTCACTCAAAAGCACAACTGTCAACCTTCTGGTGGCGCTAGAGGAGAGGTCAGGTGATGACCAGTATCGGTGGGATTCATCCTCTGGGGACCAGGGACATGTGGGACACCAAGAGGGTTAAAGTACTAGATTAGTCTCAATCTCATCTATTTACCATATTTATTATATTTTACTTACTTTTATTTTAACTGTTAAGTGTTTTACTTCAATTATTCATCTGTATTTGTTATATTTGCTCAGTATTGTTGTGACTAAGGCTGATGAGGGAGATACAGGCAGAGGTGAGAAAGTTGACCGGGAGATGACCACTAGTAGCCTTAAAGAGGGGAAAAACTTATTAGCCTGTTACTTGGAGGTCTGCCCAGACTGGATGGAGACACTGGGACACCTGTTGCACCTCACAGAGGGAGACATAGAAAAAAGCCTTTGATGTAAATATTCAGTGTTTTTAAGATGTCATCCTGTGACAGGTTAATGGGTTTATATATTACCTTTTAATGGGGTGGACATGTTTGTATGGCAGAGTGATATGCCACCTGTTACCTTGTATCACCTTAATGGAGTTTCTGAGATGTTTATGAGGTTTGGAGGTGTTTAGAGGTGTCATTAATCAGAGACATGTGTCAAGAAGATATGGTTTGCTCATTATTAGTGTTAATCAGCATATGATCTACAGTTGTTATGTCACCTGCATGTTTATTAAAGTTACTACTTTTGTTCCCATGGCTTCTGGAGAGGCGACTAAGCCTGACCTCTCTAGGTTCAAATACAGTGGTGTCTATTGCGCTGGGGGTCAAGGAGAGAAAGGTGGGCTAGAGCATGTTTAGACTTGGAGGTTCATGTAGAGAGTATAAAAGATGCTGCAGGAGCTTTGTAAACTGTTCTGTTTTGTGAACCAGAAACAAAGATATTGCCATTGGTGACCTTTTGCAATAAATCCTCTGCCTTGCTTCAGACTAAAGAGACTAAGAATGTTTTTTCAAAAGATAAGGAAATCATCACTAGCGTGTGCCTGACTTATACTGGCCCAGGTCAGGTTCCACAACAGACATCTCTACCAGAATCAATAGCAATTTAATGGCATCTCAGCCATTACAATGTGTATTGGACATGAACATCACCACTGTGTGTAAATGTGTGCTTGGCACATTACCATTGACTGTGCCGTCTTCAGCCCAAACAACCTCTCCATTAGGTTGCACCCTTTGAATGTGTGGAAACTCCAAGTCAATGGTGAAGGTAACTTTGGCTCCAGTCAGAGTTGGTGAATCATTCCCTACATTGAAGGACACTTTTCCACCTGCAAGAGAACAGCAGGAACATAGCATTTACATTCCTCTGGGTCCTCCAATTGTGTTTAATGATCCTTGGATTTAATATGCCTTTTAGATATGTTGTTTTTCATTTCAGAAATTTAAAGTAACAGGGCATTCTGGTGTCCTAGAGGTTTAACAAGACCCTATAATAAAAATGCCCCAAGGGACCTTTACTGCATGTCAGCCCCACTTCTTGTCAGCTTTCTTCCATCACTACCAAACAAAAATCAAAAATGGCCCAACAACAGTAAACAAAAAAGAAATATACAGTAACATGAACAAGTAAGTCTTTGATTATGCCAGTGTTATATGAGTGAACATACCTTTCCAGGACTCTTTGTATCGTGGGTCTCCGTCCTTCCAAATTGGGTACATCTTGGTGTTCCATGATGGATAGCGAGTGAAATCATTTCTGGGCTCTGAAATATCAAAAATCAATGCAACAAATACCACCCTGTGGTTTTCAGTAATATTTTATTTTACTGTTCTGAAATTTCTTAATCATTTACTGAATGCTTCCTGGAAAGAACACTGCACTTTGTTAGGCTATAAGAAAATAGAGGCAATGTCCAATTTCTACAGTTAACACAAAATTATTCTAGTTAATTCTGAATCTTCTGAGTCCTTTCATCAAATGCACAGCAGGTCAACTGGATATGCAAAATGTGCCTACATTTTACCTGTAATTAGTACCAAATTACATTAATCCAAGAAATTTACTATAGGAAATTACAGACAATTACACTTTTCTCCTCCTGCTTAATGTATTTGCTGAATGTATTTATTTGAATGCTCTCTTAACAAGGTTTTATTTATTCTGTTGGTTTTACAGTTGCACAGACTCCATTGTTGGAATTTATAGATGTACTGTATTTCATTTATATATTTTTCTGTCATAATAATGCCCACCAGTGCCCGAATGAGGCAGTTCATTGCCAATATTAATCTTGAATCCTTCCAGTCTGTCCCATGTGATGCTCAGCTGTGTGTGTGTGTGTGTGTGTGTGTGTTTGTGTGTGCATGAGCATGAACATGATTTTATTGCAAATTAGCAATGTCACAGGGGCTGACTTTGGATTAAACATCAATATAAATCAAACACATGCTTAGTCATCTTTCACGCTCCTGCCCCTCTTGCTTCCTGTCATGCTTTTATTTTCACATTACTTCCTGTTTTGTTTCACCTCAGTTTTGGCTCTTTTACATCATTAGTTCACCTGCTCCTTATTGTTTGCACCTGCTTTTACTTCTATTTAGGCAGCGTCCTCCCACCAGGAGGCTGCCAGATTGTTCTAGACCCCAGCTCCGACTCTCCAGCATTTATACCTTGCCTCTCTGTTTCTGACCTTGGATTACTGTTTTTTTGACCACCGTGTTTTGCCTATGCCCGCCCAGATTCTGATCGCCTGCAGTGTACCGACCTTCTGATTTAGTCCCCCTTGACCTCGAGTTTGGATCTCCTGGCTATACCTGTTTACCGGCGCCGACCCTGGACGGTCTTATCGACCTGATTGTGATCCTGGACTTTGTGTTAGTTGTTTTGGTTACAACAAGTAAAGAACTTGTCTCTACCTCGGTTCGTCTGGTTTTATAATTGAGTTCACCACAACCTCTGTTGGCATCTATACACACCAATCCTGACAGTCATCATGGTGGGTAACAGAGTAGTTAGCTAAACCAGATGTTCTAATGTTATTATGAATCCAGCCTGGATGATTTCAGAGTAATCGCTCTCCTTTGTCACGTTGCTCAAGGTTAGGCTTCACGACATTCTCTTGGTGACACTGGATGAACCTGAAGCCAAATGTTGCACAGTGAGCCATATAAAATTGACCGTAATCCCTGTAAGACTGATCAGGTGATAATTTCTCTGATATGCCATTATATAAAATATTAGCCTGATTAAATGAGTGCACATCCTGTACAACCATGTGAGTATTGTTTTAAGACAAGTGTGAAATTTCTAAACTTATCTTTTAAGATTAAATTCTAAGTATGAATAAAAGAATTAAGGTAAAAAGTTGGTGCTTTGGGTTGGTCCGTGTCATTTACATTCATGCATGGTCGGGTAAAGAGGTCATGTGAAAATGTAAAAGTGGGTCTTAAACCAGACCCATTACAGACCAAAACACGTTCCTCTGTTTGAGGTGCTGAAATGTAATGTACCTTATTAGAAAAGGCGATTTACTTCCATGTAAGGAAAAGAGCTGATTTCTTGAGGATCTATAACTTCTCCTAGAGCATCTTTTACCCTTTGCAGGATTACTACCCTACCTAACTGAGATCTGAAGACAGCCTCACTATAGTGGAACCACAGCACTGCTGTCTCACTTTTGCAGATATTTTCTTAAAATAAAATCATTTATGATGATTTGAAACAGTTCTTCAAACACTGGTGACAAAGAAATAGAAATAGAAAGATGTCTCTACACATATGACACCAGCATTATGACTGCTGTCTGTGATCCTGACTCCAGTGTAACTGCTACTTGTCCACATGTTGCAAAACTGTAATGTACTGTACTTAAGTACAAATTTAAACTACTTGTATTTGTACTGTACTATATGAGCATTTCCATTTCATGCTATACTTTGATATTTTATAGAGTTCGGAGAAACATGTAAATTTTACACCATTTAATCTCTTTGTCAGCTCTAGTTACTTTACACTACATAACAGTTCAAATTAGCTCTACCCTGGCCAACTACAAAACTTGAAATGTAGCTTACACTTTAATGCATCAGTAATAACAATCCAAAAATACTTTATAATGAGGCAGCTCATTCTGAAATGTTTGGCATCCATTTAAATTTACAAGATGTTAGAATTTATTTATGTGTAAAGCTGCAGTCTGGAGATTTGGCACATATTCTGTCTAATTTGTGCTAATGTTTATCTAACATTCTCTGTTAAATAATCTGTACTTACTTGCCACAGTGTGTGAAGCTACTTCCAGCAGCGCTACCAGTACAACAGACACCCACATTGTCAGCGCACCTCCTCTTTATGAAGAATGTGAGCAGCAGGCAACAGAAAACTGGCTTTATAAACTCCCTGATGTTTGACTTTACAGAGTGTATTAGCTGAAGAAACACATTGCAGCCTGCCCCTCCTTCAGTGAGATTTAGGAGCCCCTGGTTTGATTGTAATGTGTGTTTTTGGAGTGAAAGCATGTCTAGGGGATTACTGCTGCACATGCAGTAGAGACAGCACCACATAATCACATAAGAAATGCAAAATCCACAAGTACTTTTGCATGGCACCAGATTGGCTCACAAGACACTCGAGTGTGCACATTGATCAAACTAAATCACTTTAAATTAGACACCCTGTGAAACATATCACATATAATTATCATCATCATCATTATTTTACTACTGGGTAAGTTGTATACTTGAATATCCTTCCACGTACATTTGGGGGAGTTCTTACTATTGGTACTCTTACTTTATTGACTCAGTATTTTACATTAATACCAACCTTGTATGATTTTTCTTTTCTGATGCAAAGCTGGCAATGAGGCCTTCAGCAATATCATAAAAGCTGACAAAATGTATACATTTGGGGAAAAATAAAGTATGTATTACACTGTTTAAAACTGTATTAATACAACAGCATAATACTTAGATCATGAGGGCTCATCATTAACTCATTATCATCATTAAACTACCAAGCACTGAATTTCAGATACAGTATGAATGATCACCTAAATCTCTGATAAAGTCACTTGACCTATTTGGGCTGTCTCTCAAATGATTCCTACTTATGTGGAGATTTACTTTGAAATTCATGTTGCTACAGACAATTATCTGCCAGCAGAAAAATTTAAAAAGTACTACATATTAAGTAATAATTTAGAAGTATTTCAACTGAAAATGTACTGTAAATATTTAAGTGCCACAATGAGCTGTTCATTTCTGTGTCATTAGAACAATACTGCTAAGAGAGAGTGCATGGGGACAGACTTGGGAGGAATGCAGTGTTAATGAGGATTACTGAAACACTTGTGACTCTCTAAATTCATCCGGCTTGGTCCTTCTACTATGAAAAACTATAAAGTCACTTTGTTGAAAGATTTTTTTGTCTCCATATCATATGCCAAACTGTGACACTGTGTAAACCTCTTTTTAAACAATATCAGCATTTACAGCAAATCCTACTCAGACCTGTTTCATCTGCTGCTGTGTTACCTGTGAACCCAATAATGCCTCTCAGGTCTCCTCATCTCTATTGTATAATCATGTATACAGAAATGTAAAATATTTCATCTCATCAAAGTATGAAGATTGCTGACTGCATCAGATAGTGTGATTTGGAAACAAGGGGGTTAGAAAAAATATATAGTTTGACATTTTTCACTTTCTTGACTAGAGTTAGATTAAACTATCACACTGCCTGTTTGTTATGAAGAAGACTGTGAACAGTTAGCTTAGGCCAGCATAGCCTAAAGCCTTGAAAGAGAGGGATACAGCTCTCTCCAAATGTAACAAATCCCATAATTACTTCTGGCCTGGAAATAGTCCAGCAAATGACATGCTGTAGAAGCACAACTTGCCATTTTTACAATTTGGTTTTTATACAGAATAATCAAAGGAGTTAGAAATAAATGTCTTAATCAAAGAGCTTTTTACCTTTGAACAGAGCAAGGCTAGCTTTTTTTCCCTGGTTCTTTATGCTAAGCTAAGCTAATGGTCTCCTGGCTATAGTTTCTTGTAGATGGTACAAAACTGAGAGATGCACTGATCTTCTCATCCAACTCTAAAATAGACACCAAATAGTCTCTCAAAATGTAAAATTATTCCTTTAAAAAATAAAGTAAGAGCCCTGCTGTCATATCTATGTGCTAGGCTCATCCGTTCCAGCTTTGTTGACACTTGCTGTTGATTCAGCTCAGTGGTTAGTTTTGAAGCTTATATTTGTATTTACTTGCCTGATCAGAATTGTTTGCCAGTTCGAATTCAGAAGTTGATATAGTTTGACTCATCTACACTTCATTGTCATAAATGTATAAATATTTTTGTCCTCCCCAGCTACTTACTGCACATGACAGGGTCAGAATATGGGAAACACTTTTAAATATAATGTAGTCCAGTACAACACCATCTTTAACTATGACCTCAGTAATAAACACTTAACTGAAGTTATACATTTATGACCAAAAACTGACATATTTTGAACTTCATAAACACAGATGTTAAGGCAGAAGTACCACACTGAAGTGTATACAATTGTACAGGTGTACCTAATAAAATGGACAGTGAGGTGGAGGAACACCTGGAAAGGTGGAGGTCTGCTCTGGAAAGAAGAGGAATGAAAGTCAGTCATAGTAAGACAGAATACATGTGTATGAATCAGAGGGAGGGAAGTGGAACAGTGAGGTTACAGGGGGCTGAGGTAAAGAAGGTGCAAGAAGTTTTTGGGGTCAACAGTCCAGTGTGATGGGGAGTGTAGGAAAGAGGTGAAGAGGCGAGTGCAGGCAGGTTGGAGTGGATGGAGAAAGGTGTCAGGAGTGTTGTGTGACAGAAGAGTGTCAGAAAGAATCAAAGGAAAGGTGTACAAGACAGTAGTGAGACCAGCTATGCTGTATGGGCTAGAGACTGTAGCAGTGAGGAAAAGACAAGAGGCAGAAATGGAGGTAGCAGAGATGAGGATGTTGAGGTTCTCTTTAGGAGTGACCAGGATGGACAGGATTAGGAACGAGCACATTAGAGGGACAGTTCAGGTCGGCTGTTTTGGGGACAAGGTCAGAGAGGCCAGATTGAGATGGTTTGGACATGTGCAGAGGAGGGATAGTGGTTATATTGGTAGAAGGATGTTGGAGATGGAGCTGCCAGGCAAGAGGTCAAGAGGAAGGCCAAAGAGGAGATATATGGATGTGCTAAAAGGATAGAGTTAGGTGGAAACAGATGATTCACTGTGGCGACCCCTAACGGGAACAGCCAAAAGTAGTATAAGAAGATGGGTTGTGTATATATTATATATACTATTCTGTTAGGGTGCGCTCGAACACAGAGTGAGCGAGCAGATAAAAAGCGGACCCAGGTGGCTGGCTTCGGTGCAAGCAGTGAGGTTTATTTACAGTGAAGGTAGTGACATATATACAGGAGGAGTAATGAGGTAGATGACCGGGTGTCGATCAGCAGCAGCAGAAAAACAGTCAGTGGTATGGTGGATGATGATGTACCGGGCTGCGGATGCAGAGGTCACTCCTGGGCTGGTCAAGGCGGAGGTGATGATGGCTGTAGACAGAAGAGCAGGGATAAACTGGGTAAGGGAGACTGTGCATCGACCTGGGAGGCGGTGGCTGGTGGTGTAGATTAAATCCAGGGGGGTCCAGAGGAGAGGTCCGAAGAGGAAGAAGACACTAGAGGGGCAGGATAACGACTAGGGTGCTAACAAGGACTAGAGAGAACAAAGACAATCTTAGCATAAACTTGATAAAACAACATAACAACCACTGGCCTGACGACAGAGAAAGAACTGACAGGGGAGTGACTGGTGAACAGTGTATAAGTATGGAGGAGACTAATGAGGTGCAGCTGGTGAGTAATCAGGGAAGTGGGGCAGGTGTGTTGAATAGTGTAATCAGTGCAAGGGCTAGGCTAGTGTGAGGAAGAAGAAGAGAGGAAGGTGTAGCTGGGCAAACCTGACACTATACTATAGTATACTACAGAACATAAGTACGCAGACACTCATTTTACATACAGTTTAATAATGCCCACTTTCAAAACTCCAACAGAAGTAAGAGAGAGCACACTTCAAATGTAGATAAACCTTGATCTACCTTTTGCATGTGACTGCATCATATTGCTCAGTGGGCCCTCGTTTCCTAGCAACAGGAATGTGGACCATTTTGCTGCTGTCATCTTTTCTCCTCCACAGAGGCACACAGCCAGCTAGACAAAGAACACCTACGACATCTAGAATGGAGACATATTGCCTTCAGAATAAGTGTGTCTGTGGTACAGTACATACAGAAACTATGCTGATTCTCATGTAATATAAGTAACTATTACTATGCATCTGTGTTTATGGGTTTTGTAGCATTTGAAAAGATAATGTTGTCAGCATAAATAGTAGTAAACTTTCTGAAGTATTGTGACGTGTGTTTTATACGTATATCCTGGATACATGTAGGGTTAATTGGTCCACCCGGTAATGATGAGGGATTTTTTTTCTCAACTGTCCCATTTTTAATAACAATTTAACCCTCTTCTAAACAGCTTAAAGGTTTAATGTTAAACATGCACTTTCAACAATCCACAAAGATTTGTTTCCATTAAAGTGAACTAAAATGACTAAATTACAAATCTCTTTTAACAGAGCAACATGTGTAAAACTCAACAAAGAAAATATTCCAACATTTTAAAACATTGTATCAGTTGATTTAAATAATTTAATGTTTTCAAAAATGTAAAGACTTTTTGGTTGGATCCCTTTACATCATTCTTTTCAGTAAATAATAAACCTTAATTGCAGTTGAGCTCCACCTCAACATAGAGCTGCAACAGTAAAATGCTTCCTACTGCATGAGTAACTAACATGGAATGTAGCGCTTTGTTTCACTGAAAACCATCCAATACTGTGCTTCCTATGGTTTCTTTCCCACATAGACAAAAACTTTATTGCAGACTCAATGTCCAAAATACATACATGTAGGCTATTATTATTTGAGAGAATGATAATACCTATAGATTCTTTGCTCTTTTTTGTATAGACAGAAACGTATTTTGTAAAAAGTCGTGTTTTGCGATTATGCGTGGATTGGACTAGCTGTTTGGCATGACACCAAAACTCAGTAAATCTATAACGTTTTGTAATCAATCAATGACATGGGGCGATTTTTGTGTAATAACGTTTTGTAATCAATCAATGACATGTGTAGAGCACAACCGCAGTGTGTCCGTCTGTCCTGCAGGCGGCGCTGTGAATTAGAGTGCTGGCGTTCAGAAGGAGAACAGCGGTTTTAATTGGAGGAAGTAATACATCAACAAAGAAAGATGGCTGAAATGGTAGACTTGCAAAAGCTGAAGGTCGGTGGTGACTTAAATATACACGTTATTACAGACATCAGGTTGTTTTATTGGTAGAGGACATGCTGTGAATATTGTTAGCTGCTATACCAGAGGGCCAGGTTACAGCTAATTGAATGGTATAAAGAATAAAATGTGCCCTTCCTTGTGTGAACGCTAATAGCCGGCGTGCGTTCACGTTGTTCTTTCAGTTGCGAAACTGACTGAGCTTTGTTAAAGAACATATTGTTAAATTAGCTGGAAACGAATTGAAATTAGCAGATAGGATAGTAAATGTGGTACCTGACGTTAGATATAAAGTGTCCCGCCATATGTGTTCTTGGTTTATATAAATTAACAACGGCATCTCGAACAACATTAGCATTCCCATTAGCTAAACATAATCTCGGTAAAGAACGACTGCTGTTCGCTGGGGTTGCTACACGGCTCTCTGTCTGTGCGAAACTGCACACCTTCTACTACAAAACTACGTTGTTATATGTAGTCAGCTTTTCTACGAGTTTGTGGATGTACCACCAGAACATGTTTGAGGAGTACTGGTGTTTTATTAATTGGTTCTGTTCAAAACACCGTAGACTTCAATAAATTGTTCTTCTTGGTGTTATCATTTGCCTCATGCGTCAGTACCTGGTACTCTGATGTCAAGTCGATTTGAGAACTGCTCAGCCAAATGAAACATGTTTATCAGATAGCTTTATGCTAAAGCTTTACAGTGTGGCAAAGTGTGGTGTACATACATTAACTGGGCAAATACTTTTTCCACAAAGTGTATTTGGTTTTGGATAACGTATTTGCTTCATTTAAAAACTGCTAATTCAGGTTTCCTTTGGGATCTGAACCCATTTAGCATGTCATGTACAAACGTTAAAATTGTGGGATTGGCAAATACTTTTTCCCTGCACTGAATGTCAAAAATGTATGGAGAGATTACCACCCCAAATCGGATAAAGTAGTACACTATGTAAAATCTAAATTAAACCTGAAAATAGTGATGTGTAAATTATTTGTGTCCTGTATTACATTGAAAACAATCCAGGAGCACATTATTTTATGTGATGCCTTATCAATTTTATTTATTGTTCAAAATAAACGCTCACTTCAATTCTGATGCTGAAAAACATAAAAAAAATAATTAAAAAAGTTGTGGCAATAAAGCATTTACCACATTGTGATGTTGCTGTTCCTTTTCCCAACACTTAAAAGATGTTTAGGGACTGAGGACACCAAGTGATTAACTGTGTTTGGTGTCATTTTGTCCCATTCTTACTGCAAATACATCCTAAGGTGCACAACAGTCCTGGGTCTTCGTTGATTTGATTTGCATTTGAAAATGCGCCACACATTTTCTATTGGGAACAGGTCGGGACTGCAGGAAGGTCAGTCCAGCACTCACATCACTTCTCCCCCACAGCCAGACCTTGGTGATGTGTGAGGTTTTGCATTGCCTTGTTGAAATATGCATGGACATTGCTGGAAAAGATGTCTTGAAGGCAGCATGTGTTGCTCCAACATCTCTTTGTATTATTCAGCATTAATGGGGCCATCACAGAAGAGTAACTGACCTTTGCCAAGGGCATGGGCACAACCCCAGACTGTGACAGACCCTGGCTTTTGGACTTGTTGCTCGTAACAGTATGGATGGTCCTTTTCACCTTTGGTCCAGAGCACACGGTGTCCATTCCTTCCAAAAGAGACCTGAAATACTGATTTGTCTGACCACAGTGCACATTTCCACAGTGTGATGGTCCATCCCAGATGCCTCTGAGCTCAGAGCAGTCAACTGTGCTCCTGGACACTGTTGACATAGGGCTTCCTTTTGGCACAGTACAGTTTTGAGAAGCATTTATGGATGTAACTACGTATTGTAGTGCCTGACACAGGTGTGCCAAAGTCATCCTGGGCCCATGTGGTTATATCGCTTATAGAAGATGACGATTCTTGATGCCGTGCCGTCTGAGGGGCCAGAGAGCTCGGTCATCCAGCTTAGGCTTGTGCCCGTTACACACTGAAATCCCTCCTGATTCCTTGAATGTTTTAATGATATTCTGCACCATAGAGGGTGACATGTCCGAATCTCTTCCTATCGTTCTTTGAGGAACATTGTTTTTAAACATTTAAGTAATTTTCTCACACATATGTTGACAAACTGGTGGTCCTCGGCACATCTTTGCTCCTAAAGGGCTCGGCCTTTCCTGGATGCCACTTTTGTACCAGATCATGATGCAGTCACCTATTGGCATCACCTGTTTCACATGTAATCATCATTTCATTGTTTTACCTCATTACTGGCCCTGAAATGCAACTGTCCCAACTTTTTTGGAATGTGTTGCAGCATCAGAATTGAAGTGAGTGTTTATTTTGAACAAAGAATAAACCTGATGAGGTGTCAATCAAATAATGTGCTGCTGTATTGTTTTCAATGTAATCCAGGACACAAATGATTTACACATCACTATTTTCAGTTATAATTTAGAGTTTTACACCTTGTCCCAATGTTTTCTGATTTGGAGTTGTAATTTGATATAGTGCCTTTGCAATCAGAATATTTATTTACTGGTCAAAAGCCACCACATCTGTCTCACATGCTGATATCACCAGTTAATATGAAACTCCTGTTAAATTGGAACACTTTGGGATACCTTGTACTAGAGAGAGATTAAAAGAAAAAGCAAGGTGAAGTCATTACTAATTCATGCTCATTAAATTAAAAGTACTGCTTTCTGTTTCATTTTCTGTTGTAGCTTGCAGAACTGAGGCAGGAGTGTGAGGCCCGAGGTCTTGAGACCAAGGGAAACAAAGCAGAACTCGTTGCTCGCCTGCACGCTTATCTGGAGGAGCCTGGTGAGGACAGTTACCCTTCACACTGCGACCCATTTTACATATGCTGTAAACATGCGGGTGCACAAATGGTTCTTGTTGTCACACATAGACTTCATCAGGTTGAGTGGAGATACCTCCTTGTACAACTGAGATGAGGTGCAGTTAGCTGTTGATGTACAGTCAGGCTGTGTATCCTGTTAAACTCCTTAAAACCACTGATCTCTCTATTTGCTTCTGTTTCTTTCTGCTCTCTGCTGGTGGAAAACATCTTTTTTATCCATATTTGAAACCATAGAGGAAGATGTGGACGTTGATGATGTACTGGCAGAGGATACAGAAGTAATGTGATTGTTTATTTGACACGTGCTCTTTCACTTGCTCCTCTCAGACCCAGTCAGCCCGTTTTGTGATGTACTAATTAATGTTTCTGTTTTCCTTTAAGGACTTTACCAAAGTTGAGAGTGTTGACATCATAAAAGATACCCAGATTCCTGAATCTCCCGAGTGTGAGACGTAGGTTTATTTAAATTTATTATACTGTGTCAATCACTGTA